AAACAATAAGACATATAATCTAATTCTCCAAAATGAAAGAACAAGGATAGACAACTACAGAAAGCAGCAAGAAAAATGAAGTTATCTACAAAGGAAAACTAATAAGGCTAAGCCCTGGATTCTTAGCAAAAAATGTGTAAGCAAAAAGGCAGTGGGATGGCATATAAAAAGTTCTAAAAAAGCACAACTGTCACACAAGAATCCTGTACCCAGAAAAACTATTAAGTATGAGGACATAATTAGGACATTATCAGAAAACAGAAGTGAAGAGAATTTATGACAAGAAGACCAACTTCACAAGAAATACTAAAGGAAATTCTTTACATAGCAACAACAACACAGAAAAGTTGACGGGGAAAAAAAGTTAACTGGCAACACCACAAAAAAGAATGCAATAAAACCTTGCCGACTTAAACAATGTAGTCAACCTTTGTAAATAAAACAGTATAAAATAAAAACAAAACAAAACCCAAAACCAAAAACCCTTGCCTACTCATAATTACATGATGTGAACAGATTAAAAGCACTACTTAGGAGAAAAAGAATAGGAGTGTACTGCAGACTCATCAATATGCTGTCTACAAGAAACACATCTGAGACAGGAGGATAAAGACAGACTAAAAATCAAAGTGCTGGGAAAAAAGCTATTAAGCAAGTAAATGCCAACCAAAGCAAAGCAGGAGTAATAATATTAATCTCCGATCAAACAGACTGCAAGGTAAAAACTAGCTTAAGAAACAAGGAAGGCCTAGTGGCAGGAAGTTGCATTGCAATCTCAGAGGTATGCGGTTTGAATCCACCAGATGCTCTGCTGGAGAAGGAGGGGCAAATCTCCTCCTGTACCAGTCAGATCTGATCTGACGGTACACATACACACACAAAAATAATAAAATTTAAAAAAAAGCACACGAGGAAAGGCACTATATGATTAAAGGATCAACAGAATAAGACTACATATCCTTAACATCCATGTTCAGACAGAGCTGCAAAATACACAAAACAAACTTTAAACAGATAACAATTTTTGTTGTTGTTATGTGCTGTAAAGTCACTTGTGACTCTTAGCAACCCTATATACAGTCGTCCTGAAACTTGCTCTATCCTGTGCCAACGTTATTGTCTCTGTTACTCCGGTCACTGCATCAATCCATCTCATCAAGGGTCTCCCCCTATTTCTCTGTCCCTCCACCTTCAACTCATAATGTCCCTGTCCAAAAGTGGTACCCCCCTTGTATCATGCCCAAAGTATGTCAGATGAAGCTTCAGAATTCTTGACTCCAAGGAGCAGGCTGGCTTTGCCCTTTCCAGGACAAACCTGTTTGTTCTCCTAGCAGTCCATGGTATATTCCAGATTCTTCTCCAGCACCACAGTTCAAAGGCATCAATTCTCTATCATCCCTAGTCATTGTCCAGCTCTCTGATGCATAGCAAGCAACTGCAAAGACTATGGCCTGGATCTCCCAACTGACACTACTGCTCTTCAGTACTCTGGAGATGTCCCTGATAGCTAACTTTCCCAATGCAATTTGGCAATACTAGAAGAGTTCAATACAAAACTTTCAGTGAAAGATAGAATGAACAGAAATAAATACAATTAACAAATTCTTCCTGATAGATAAATGTTCTTTGGGCAGACAGATGTTCTTTAGACAGAAAAAGAACACTATTCCCACAAAAGCTCAATATACTCAATATTCTTCTCCAGTGTACATGGAACATTCTCCAGAATTGCTAGGACACAAAGCAAAACTCAGTGAATTAAAAAACATTAACAAACAACAGATCATCTTTTCAGATCAAAATGCTATATAAAATTTGAAATAAATAACAAGAAACAAATTATGAACTTGTAAACTATTATCTTTCTTGATCATTACTAAGTAATAGAATAAGGAATAATGAAATAAAAAAGTTTCTTCAAAACATATTAAAACCTCTGGGACACAACAAAAGCAGTATTTAGAGTTCAGTTCATAGCAATAAACAAATACATCAAAAAAGAAAACTCACATCAACTCCTTACAACCAACATATACAACAAATAGAAAAAGAAGAGCAAGGCGAGCTCTGGTGGCCTAGTGGCAAGAAGCTGCACTGCAATCTCAGAGGTACACAGTTCAAATCCACCAGATGCTGTGCTGGAGAAGGAGGAACAATCTCCTCCTGTATCAGTCAGATCTGATTTCATGGTACACACAAAAAATAATGAAAGAAAATAAAAATTAAAAAAAAGAATATCAAGCAAACTCCATACCTTCTAGAAGTATTAAATAATAAAGAGCAGAAATAAATAAAATAGAAGACAGAAAATAATCAAAACTAGGAATTGTTTCTTCCAAAGGATTAATAAAACTGACAAACCACAGGCAAATGTAATGAGGGGGGGAAATACAAATAACTCAAATAAGAAATGAGTGGCAACACAACAGAATCAACTGAAATAAAAAGGATAACAATGGACTCCTATTTATCAGACAGCTGGACAATGATTAAGCATGACAGAATATGAATCAATGTCTTTGAATTGTGCAATAAACCTGTAGATGTTTTTTCACAGAACTGCCATTTTCATAATATTAAATCTTTCTATCTGTGAGCTTGCTGTATTCTTGCACTTATCTCGGTCTCTTTTTATTTCTTGAAGTAGTGGTGTTTCCTGTGACACTGATGTGCCAAATGTGATAACGGTTACCCATGGTGGACAGTGTTTGCTGGAGCTTCCCAACTAAAACAAGCCTGGAAGTGGGAGTGGCATCCACTTCCAAAATGGCTTGCCTCCGGAAATTCTATGAACAGTGCGCAGGCCTTTTGTTTATAAGGTCTCTATGAGTCATCTACGACTCGATGGCACCTAACAATAATAACAACGATGACACAAAGAGAGCTGTGTTGGCCTAGTGGACAGAAAGTTATTCTACCAAGCCGAAGATGGGTGATTTTAATCTGTGGCCCTCAGGCCAGGTTCAAATTGTTTTCCTGTCAAATATTCTTCTAGGTGGTATAGCACTGGTCTGTGCATTGCTGTACAGGGGTAACTCGTGGTTCCTGTCATGCTGAATATTGTGACACTGATGTGTCAAATGTGGTAATGGTTACCCATGGTGGACAGTATTTGCTGGAACTTCCCGACTAAAACAAGCCTGGAAGCAGGAGCAGCATCCACTTCCGAAATGGCTTGCCTGGGGAAACTCTATGAATAGTGCTCAGGCATTATGTTCACAGGGTCGCTATGAGTCATCTACGACTCGACAGTACCTAACAACAACAACAACAGTACTGTTTCACTGCTTTCTTTGTACAGAAATCTACAGGTTTAACACATTACTGATTCACATCACAATGCCATTTTTCATGGAAATGGAAATAACTATTTCCAACTTTATTTGGAAAGGAAAGGGATTCTGAGTAAGCAAAGCTCTAGTGAAGAAGAAAAACAAAGCATGAAGTATCACATTCCTTGAACTCAAAATCTATTATACAGTTATTGTAATCAAACAGCACAGTATTGGTACAGGGGCAAACACACAGACCAATGGAACAGAACTTATAACCCAATATATCCACCTACGGTCAACTGATCTTTGTCATGGAGATGAAACTCATTAAACAGGGAAATGACAGCCTTTTAATAAATAGTGCAGGCTCAACTGGAAGCAAGACTCACACCTCATACCATACACAAAAGCAAGCTGAAAACGGATCAAGGATCCATGGGTGAAAACAGAAACTATAAAGAGTATCACAGGAAAAACAGAACAAATCTGGAGCCTCAATCTCTGGCACAACAGACTTTCAAATAGAACAAAAAACCATACAAGCAGAAGATATAATGGATTATTTATTGAGATCTTCTAAAATGAAATCCTTGTGTTCATTGAAAATTTCTCTAAAATAGAAAAAAGAGTCTACAGATGGGAGAAATATCTGGCAATGACCTGATAAGGGACTCATATCTAAAATTTATAAAGCGCTTTAGCATGTTACCAGAAAAAGACAACACAATTAAATAATGGTCAGCAGAAATGAAAACAAAAAAACAAAACAAAAACCCCAAACACAACCTAGATCCTTTTCTAGTTCATAAGCATGATGACTGGGAGTTCACACTTCTGTATGACATGTGCCACATTTTTTAAAAATTATTATTAATTTTAATGAAAATTTACAGACTTAGGGTTTCCATTCATTCACTGTTGCCCTTTTCTCCCTACCTACTCCCTCCCCCCCAATTCGCTCTTCTCTTTGAAAAGTAGAAGAAAAATTCTTTTATTGTTATATTAATACCTCCCCCCAAGTCCATTCCACTGTGCAGCCTTCATTCTGGACTGCTGTAATGACAATAATACCCAATCATATATCCCTTTAAGCAGTTCTCTCCCTCATTTGTTTCAATGCAGTATACATTATTTACCCCATCTTTCTCAGTCTTTCCTTTTTTTTTTTTTTTTCTCAGTCTTTCCTCAACCCCAATGTCAGTCTCATTTTACAACAGTGGTCATATGCAATATTTGTCCTTTGTGACAGACATTTCACTCAGTATAATGTCCTCAGGGTCACCTATTTTGTATAAACATGTGCCACCCTTTAAAACTTGATAGACACAGGCACACTACCCATCAGATGATTTAAAAAAACAAGAGCAAAACACCAAACAAAACAAAAATACAAAAAACCCAAGAAACTTTACCAGAGACAGTTCAGATGGCCAACAAACACAAAATCACTAGCTGTTAGAGAGATGAAAATCAAAACAATGAAGAGATATACTCTCACTCCAGCAACAACAGCAAAGTTGTTAATAGGACATCAAATAAAAAAATGACAGCAAGGAAGTGGAGGTACAGGAACTCACATGAACTGCTGGTGAGAACATAAAATGGGACAGCCACTATGACAGGCAGTTTGGTGTTTCCTCAAAAAAAAAATGAGGCGGTGCGACTGTGGGCAGCGGCACCTCGCGGGCCCGGCCGCAGCACAACATCTAAGCCATCACAACCATCAGAATGACACCTTCTCAGGTTACATTTGAAATAAGAGGACCTATCTTACCAGGAGAAGTTTTTGCTATATGTGGAAGCTGTGATGCTTTGGGAAGTTGGAATCCTCAAAATGCTGTCCCTCTTCTTCCAGAGAATGAGACAGGTGAAAGCATGTTATGTAAAGCAACCACTGTACTCAATAGAGGAGTATCAGTTCAGTATCGCTACTTTAAAGGGTGCTTCTTAGAACCAAAGACTATCGGTGGTCCATGTCAAGTCATAGTTCACAAAGTGGGAGACTCATCTACAACCACGCTCAATAACCCCTTTAGAAAGTGAAATTATTATTGACGATGGACAACTTGGAATCCACAATGGTGTTGAAACGTTGGATTCAGGATGGCTGACATGTCAAACTGAAATAAGATTACGTTTGCTTTATTCTGAAAAACCTCCTGTCTCAATAACCAAGAAAAAATTTTAAAAAATCTAGATTTAGAGTAAAGCTGATATTAGAGGGTCTGGAGGAAGATGATGATGACAGGCTATCTCCTAACTGTTCTTCACAAAATGTCTAATAGCTTAGAGATATCGTTAATCAGTGATAATGAGTTCAAGTGCCTGCATTCCCAGCCAGAGTGTGGGTATGGACTGCAGCCTGATCGCTGGACGGAATATACAGACAATGGAGCCAGATAACCTGGAACTCATCTTTGATTTTTTTGAGAAAGATCTCAGTGAGCTGGTAGTTCAGGGTGATGCCCTTCCCGGCCATGTGGGGACAGCATGTCTCATCATCTACCATTGCCGAGAGTGGGAAGAGTGCAGGACTCCTTACTCTCCCCATCATGAGCAGAAATTCTAGAAAAACAATAGGCAAAGTTAGAGTTGATTATGTAATTATTAAGCCATTACCAGGATACAGCTGTGACATGAAATCTTCATTTTCCAAGTATTGGAAGCCAAGGACACCATTGGATGTTGGACATTGAGGTGCAGGGAACTCTACAACAACTGCCCAGCTTGCTAAAGTTCAAGAAAATACTGTTGCTTCTTTAAGAAATGCGGCCAGTCATGGTGCAGCTTTTGTAGAATTTGATGTACAACTTTCAAAGGATTTTATTCCTGTAGTCTATCATGATCTCACTTGTTGTTTGACTATGAAAAAGAAATTTGATGCTGATCCAGCAGAATTATTTGAAATTCCAGCTAATCTTTGACCAGCTCCAATTGTTAAAGCTTGCCCATGTGACTGCACTGAAATCAAAGGATCGGAAAGAATCTGCGGTTGAGGAAGAAAATTCCTTTTCTGAAAATCAACCTTTTCCTTCTCTTAAGATGGTTTTAGAGTCATTGCCAGAAGATGTAGGGTTTAACACAGAAATAAAATGGATCTGCCAGCAAAGGGATGGAATATGGGATGGCAATTTATCAACATATTTTGATATGAACCTATTTTTGGATATAATTTTAAAAACTGTTTTGGAAAATTCTGGGAAAAGGAGAATAGTATTTTCTTCATTTGATGCAGATATTTGCACAATGGTTCAGCAAAAGCAGAACAAATATCCCATTTATTTTTAACTCAAGGAAAATCTGATATTTATCCTGAACTCATATGGACCTCCGATCTCGGACAACCCCCATTGCAATAAGCTTTGCGCAGTTTGAAAATCTGCTGGGGATAAATGCACATACTGAAGACCTGCTCAGAAACCCATCGTATATTGAGGAAGCAAAAGCTAAGGGACTAGTCATATTCTGCTGGGGTGATGACACCAATGATCCTGAAAACAGAAGAAAATTGAAGGAATTTGGAGTTAATGGTCTAATTTATGATAGGATATATGACTGGATGCCGGAACAGCCAAATATATTCCAAGTGGAGCAGCTGGAACGCCTAAAGCAAGAATTGCCAGAGCTTAAGACCTGTTTGTGCCCTCCTGTTAGCCACTTCACACCCTCCTCTTTGTGTGGGGAGCCTGACATCTGCATGGAGGCCAATGGCATTGACAACGCTGAGCAAGCTTAAGCTTTGATCGCACAAGGCCACTCGAGGGCACCACTGTTCTGGGTGTTTGCTTTCATCGTTGACCACTGTCTTGTCTTTGCCTTTTGGGTTTCTCAGTCCAATGAAGCAATAATGAAGTATTTTGCTAGTTCACTACAGTTCTTGCTAGAATTTCAAGTATGCTATTTTACATCGCTTGGCCAGGTATAATTACCAGTCCATCTCTTTCCAATGAGAAGATTTATTAGTTGGTAAATACTTTCAACTAAAGATTTAAACTTATTTTAAACAGATGCTCAGTAATAAGCACAGCTATTTGGAATGAAATATATAAATAGCTCATAAAAAATGACAAAGGTACTGTTTTTAATCCAGTTATTCCATTATTAGAAATATATCCTAGAACATCAGAGCTGCAACATGAGCAAATGTATGCACACTCATGGTTTTGGGGTTTTTTGGTAATTTTTTAATTTTAATAATTTTAATGAACATTTACAGAGATTTTGGAATTCCATTCATTCATTGCTGCAGTTCTCTCCCGCCCAGCCCCACCTCCCCCCCCAGGAGTGAACTCTCTTTGAAAAGTAAAAGAAAAACTCCCTCCCTGGTACACAATCCCCCCATACCCCTTCCACCGCCCCAGCACACTCATGTTTATTGCAGCATTATTCTCAAAAGCAAAGAGATGGAAGCAGTAAGAGTGACTATCACAAATAAATGAATATGGAAATTGGTACAGTCACACAATGGCCTATGATGTGCCACTGAAAAACAGTAAATTTGTGAAACATGACACAATATGGATGGGTCTAGAGGACATTATACTGAGTAAAAGAACTCAAGTCACAAAAGGGCAAAAATTTTTTTTTTGTTCTACCAACTTTTTTAAATTATTGTTAATTTTAATGAACATTTAGAGAGATCGTGGATTTCCATTCATTCATTGTTGCACATTTCTCCCCCCCCCCCACCGAGTTCGCTCTTCTTTAAAAGCAAAACTCCTTCATTGGTATATAATCCCCCGCACCCTCCCACCCTCACCTCAAGTATACTCCACTCTGCAACCCTCATTCCAAACTCTTATGATAATCATAATGCCCTAAAATATATTACTTTTAAACTGTTCTCTCCCTTATCAGCTTCAATGCAGTATACATCATTTATCCAGTTTTTCTCAGTCTTACCCCCACCCTGATGTCAGCTACACAAAAGGACAAAAACTTTATAAGAATATTATGATAAAAGGGTAATGGGGGCTGGGTCGGGATGGGAAATGGATACATAAAAAAAATTTTACTTTCTATGAAGATGGCACCTAAAGCTATGAAGGCAGGCCTTATTCCTCCCTAAACGGGAAACAAAGTAAAGGCCATGAAGACAGTCCTGAAGGGCATCCACAGCCACAAAAAAAGAAAAAGACCAACATGCCACTCACCTTCCTGCAGCCTAAGACTGAGACAACAAAGGCAGCCCAAATACCCCTAGAAGAGCGCCCCCAGGAGAAAGAAGCTTGACCACTATGCCATCATCAAGTCTACTCTGACCACTGAGTCAGCAATCAAGAAGACAGAAGATGGGGTAAAGAAAAAAGTGGAACAATGAATGAATGAAAATTCAAAATTTCTGTAAATGTTCATTAAAATTAATAAAATTTTAAAAAAAAATAAGACAGATGATAGCAACACACTTGTGTTCATTGTGGATGTCAAGGCCAACAAGCACCAAATAAAACAAACTGTAAACACTGATGTGGCCAGGGTCAACATCTTAATTAGGCCCAACAGAGAGAAGGCCTATGTTAGATCTACTCCTAAATATGATACTTTGGATGTTGCCAACAAAATTGGGATCATCTAAACTGAGTCTAGCTGGCTAGTTCTAAATACAAATTTTTCACACACACAAAAAAATAAACACGTTATTGGAATAGGTGAAGGGAAGGTCAATTTGAAATGAATAGATGAAGAGATATAGCATATGCTGCAACTAACAATGTGAAGCAAGACAGGCATAACTAATTGACTAGTGGGCATAATAGTAATGAAAGGTTTGCACACAGAAATCATTGTGGAGGATTAACAGGGATGAGAGTGGAGGGAGACAACAGATTAAACAATGAATAGGGTGAAGGGAGGGGATACTACATAGAAGAGCTGATGAAATGTAATAAATGGCAATGATCAACTGTAATTGATGTTATAAAACAAAATACATATGATTGAACAAAATTATTTTTTAATAAAATTGGAAGAATTGAAAAAATAAGTAAGATATATTTGTTTGTTTTGGCAGTTCAGGGGATTTTTAGTGCTCTTTTCCAACACCATAGCTCTAAGGCATAAATTCTTCTTTTGTCCTATCCTGTGTCATCCTCACACTTCCTGACACACTAGAACCCACTGCAGCAGTCATTGTGTCAGTCCACTTGGTTGAGGGTCAATCACGACTGTTCAAAGTCATTAATTCTTTTATGTCATTCACTGTTGAGCTCTCAGATACCTAAGAAGATATAAGTAAGGTCATGGCTTGAATCAGATGCATTTTATTCCTCAAACTGGTATCACTGTTACTCAATAATATGGAGAGGTCCCTGACTGTAGATTTTCCTAGTGCAATATGTCTCCCAGTGTCCCGACTGCTGGTACAAGTGTACTGATTGCTGATCCAAATAAAGTTTTTGACAGTTTAAACCTTTTCTCCATTTAGTGTTAGGAAGTTGCCCTCCAAATGAAGGCACAAGGTTCAAATTCACCAGCTCCTCTGTGGGAGAGGTAAATGCAATTAATCGTTTCTGAAAACACACTGAAGGGTCAGCTGTGAGTTGGTTCTGACTCGATGGTACACAACAGCACAACAATCATGATGTTGCCTATTGGTCCCGTGGCAAGAATTTTTGTTTTCTTGAAATAAGATGCAATCCATATTCAAGGCTGTATTCTCTGATTTTCTGTAAGTGCTTTAAGTTCTCATTTTCAGCAAGCAAAGTTGTCATCTGCATACACAATGCAGGTTATTGATGAGTCTTTTGCCAATTTTCCCAATCTTGGTGCTGCATTCTTCTTTAAAGATTGTGTGTATGTGTGTGTGTGTGTGTGTGTGTGTGTGTGTGTGTGTATAAATAAATAAATAAAATGTAGGTAGGGCCCTTGTATTTAAAATTCTGTTAGGCCTAGTGTTATTTTGGAGGAACATTCTTCTAAGTTGAATAGCACTCCTCTGTTAATTTGCTGTACTGAGGTAATCTGGGTTTGCTGTGATGCTGAACTTTTTGCCACTGGGGGGTCAAATGCCATAACGACTGCCCATGGTGGACAGTGCTTGGTGGAGCTCCCAGTTTAAGACAGATTTGGTAGCAGGAATATCACCCACTTCCTAAACCACATGTCTCTGGAGACTCGATGAACTTGGAGAAACAAGGATAGTTATATAAAGGCCCCAGGCCTTTTGTTCATAGGGTCGCTATGAGTTAGTGCTCAACTTAATGGTAATCAACAACAACAACAGAGCTCTTCTTATTGCTATTTACTGTCAATTCTCAAGACAATAGCTTCTCTTTAATCTGCGTTTTCTACAAGCTCTCAAGGACTTTATTTTCATTAATAAAGCCTTCAGATATATTCTTCTGAGTCTTATGAGGTCTCATAGAAGCACCCTATTTTTTGGGGGGACACATCTGTGTGCTTGTCTAATAAGCTGTTTTCAGCTAGCTTCCCACTGAGTGTTCCCAAGAGTACTTCTAAACTCGCATGCCAGTCTTCCAGTGGCTTCAGAAACCCTCACAGTTCAGTGCTTCAAAGCTATTCTTAAGATGATCTTGAAATTCATATGGAATTGATTAAAGATCTGTTCAAGATCATATCCGAGTTCCTGTTGATTTATTTTCCTCAGCCTCAATTTGAACTTGCATATGAGTAATTAATAATATAATCCACAGTCCATCCCTGGTGTAGTTTTAACTGCTGATATTCAGGTTCTCCAATGATTTCTTCCACAAATATAATCAGTCTGATTCCTATGCAGCCCATCAGGTGAGATCCATGTGTAAAGTCATTGGTGTCTTTTAAAAAAGGTATTTGCAATGGATAAATCATTGTAAATACATAATTCAGTCATTATATTGCCAGCTTCATTTGTATCACCAAACCCATATTTTCCAACTACTGTTGTGCTTTATTGACTATGCAAAGACATTTGACTATGTGGGTCAGAACAAGTTGTAGCTGACACTAACAAGAATGGAAATCCCACAGTGCTTACACTTGTGACAAACCTGGATCTGGACATGGACCAGGAGGCTGCTGTGAGAATAAAGCAGGGGAATATCACATGGTTTAAGATTGAGAAGGGAGTGCATCAGGGTTATATTCTCTCTCCATATCTATTCAGTCTTACGATGAGCAAATTATTCAAGAAGCTGGATTCTAGGAAGAGGAGTGTGGCATCAGGATTGGAGGGAGACTCACCAATAATCTGTATTGCAGATCAAGGAATGCAGCCTTCAGAATGGATTGCATCTCAATGTGAAGAAAACAAAGATTCTTACCACTGAACCAATAGGCAGTGTCTTGGTGGATGGAGAGGAGACTGAAATTGTCAACAGCTTCATCTTACTTTTCTCCACAATTAGCACCCTTGGTACCAGTCAGGAAATAAGATACATTACACTAGGAAAATCTGCAGTTAGGGACCTTTCCAAATTATTAAGGGATAATGATGTCAGTTTGAGAACTAAGGTGTGTCTGATTCATAATCTTTCCAATTACTTGCTACTCATCTAAGAAGTGGATAAAGAATAAGGATGACAGAAAATGAATTGATGCCTTTGAGCTATGGTGCTGGAGAAGAGCACTGAACATCCCATGGATGACAAAAAGGACAAACAGATGTCTTAGAGAAGACAAAGTGCTCTTTGGAGGCAAGAATGATGAGGCTCTGCCTCACATACTTTGGCCATGTTCCTTGGAGAGGGACATGATGCTGGGAAGGGTGGAGAGTTGAAGAAGGAGAGGAAGACTCACAACCAGGTAGACTGGCCTGGTGACTACTGCAATGGACTCTTGTGTGTCAGTAAGCGTGAGGATGGCGTAAGATAGAACAGGGTTCCGATCTTTTTTCATAGGGTTGCTGCGAGTCATATTCGACTTGACGGCACGTACAACCCCGGAGAAAGGTGGTTCAGATCCACCAGCTGCTCCACGGAGGATGGGAAGTCTCCTCTCATGCAATTAGCTGCTCTGAAAACCCACTGGAGGATCAGCTATGAGTGGGTTCCAACTTGACAGCATACAACACCACCACACATCTGGAGGTTGACAGAAAGGATGACAGGAGAAGA